ACCCTGACTTTTGAAACCGGTGCAAGTTCACTGGACTACCTGGTGAACCTTAAGGGCCTCCTCGTCAGCCTTCAGGGAAAGCTCTCCCAATTTGGGAGCATTCAGAGGCATGTCGGCAGCTGCTGCTGAAGTCAAAAAATCAGAATATGGGGAACTTTGTAAGGCAGCCCTTACAATCATGTCCTCTGTCTCAAGTTGTTCTTTGGAAAGGGGAGGGGGAGAAAATAATAGCCATTTCCAACAGTTTAAGCTCTTCCAGCAGTAGTAACGCAAAGACAAGGTCAAGGTCGCCTTGCTATTGGCATATGATGACAGACATTTCTCTACAACAAGGCTTTGCCCAATCCTTCGCTGGCAGCGGACTTCCTCTCTCCCTGCCCCCATCATCTCCCGTAACCCTTTCATCAGCTCTTCATTTGTGTTATATCCGTTATGATGAAAGAGCAGGTTTTCCCTTTTTGATCACTTTAAAGCGGGAGCAGGGAGAAAGAAGAGCAGGGGCTGATAGAGGATTTGCAGCAGATCAGCAGATATCCGACACTTGATGGTTTAATAAATAGCGAAAACAAAAGGCTGGCTCCTCCCTCCTAAATGAAGCAACTAAATTCAAGACACCTACAAGAACAGATTTTGTTTTATAAATTTATTTGCATGCAAGCTTCTGTTCTGGTAATTGAAAGCAAGTTCTTAGACTCAGTATATGCTCAGAGGCACTCTCTCCACTCTAGGAGTGCCTTCCTGCACTACTGTTTTGCTTCTGGCTCCAGTTGCAGACCCCAGTCTTCTGGTGAAAAGCATCATCCACGATACTTTTACATCCCTGATACTGCGGATGAGGAAACATATCGCTCCCTCTCTCGTCATGCTACAGCCTGGGGTCATTCCAGTCTATCAAAAGCTGTGGGTTGCTGGGAGACTGGGACATGCCAAAGAAAGTCCTTCTTCACAAGGCACGTAGCTAAACTGGGGAATTCACTTCCATAGGAGGTAGCGATGTTCAGATTGCTTACAAGGGAGCAAGACAGCTTCATGGAGCGTAAGACTCACAAGGGCTATGACTCTGTGCTACATCTGGTGTCAGAGTAGGGGCTACTCTCCTAAAAGAGGCACCCCAGTCGATGGCGAACACAAGCAGGGTGTGTGCGTGTGCGTCTTACTTGTGGACTTCCCACTGGCAGCTGCGAGGACTGAATGCTGGGCTAGGTAAACCCTTGGCCTGATGCAGCATGGCTCTTTCTGGGAAAACCAGAGTGGATTCTCCCCACCCCTGCTCTCTTTCCTTGCAGGTCACAGAACAGCATAATCCCTCTTGCACACTCCAGGTGCTTCAGCCCACAAGTTTTCATGCTGGCTGGCTATGACAGGAGCTGTAAGCCCAATGCAACCGGAGGGCATCAGGCTGGGGAAGGGTGATCTAGTCGCTCTGGTGTCCTCATCTGCAGAGTCATTCATTTCAAGAGACCCATGAGCCACCACGGAGCACTCCCTACTCCAAGTTCACCTGACTTGGAGATTTTCTCCTCCACTACCAGTTCTCAATTACCACGAGAGGCCAGAATCAAAGCTTTAAATCCTGGAGGTCTGCCTGCACCCCCAAAACCATAATGGAATTGGTGATACGGGCAAATCCAAACCACAGCCTTAATGAAACTTAAGCTGGCTTTATAAAAATAAAATTAAAAAGGCTGGGAGTTGGGGGTGGCAGTGGCTTTATGACTACCAAGATAACTACAGAAGCATGTAGATTAATTATTGTGTGTCAAGGCATTCACCCAACAAGGACTTAAAATCCAATTCCAGGAGTGTGAGTTCCATTGAAAATCAGCTTGCAGCCCAGACGATGACAGGACACTACATACATCATTCCTTATGTGGAAAGGGTGTCTTTGCAGGCATAGCCCAGAAGAGGATGTGAAAACTACACTCTCCACATTAGCACCATGAGCTGCAACGCAAAGGATGGAAGGACAGGTGACATGCACCTTCATTGCAAAGCACCCTTGGCCTACTGCATCACAACAGTGACATGACTTGTTAGGCATCCAATTATAGGAAAGGAGTGACACTGAAGGTATCTGGCCACTTGCCCCAGAGCTCTCAAAGAGAAGGAAGGTGCTAAGAGACAACCCAAAGCAACAAAGCAAAGCAAACTGTTGCTAAAGTAGCCAAAGCCAGATCTATTTCTTCCTCTGAAACCAGCTTTGTTTACAGTTCCAACAATAGCAATGAAAAGCCCTGGTCATGCTGCATACACATGGAAACAAATTCTGCTCATTTTAAATGGCATTTACCTGAATGTGTTTCTGATATTACATCTTTGGTACCACCACCACCACCATGGGCCCCTCAAAGCCACAGCAAAATTCAATTAGCCTTCATAAAACTGCCATGTTTGTATCTTCCAAGTGTGACATACATTAAAGTTACTACTTTTTATCTTTTGAACAACCCTGTGAGGTAGATGACAAGAGACGGGGTTACCCAGGGAGTCTCATCGCTAAGTAGAACTTCAAATCCAGATCTCCTTGGTCTTACTGTAAAGATGCACTCCTTCCCCAATCTGGCTGAGGATGCTGGGAGTGGAGGGCCCCAGGCTGGAATGAGTGCCCACCACCACATCACACGGCAGGGGCTCCATTCAGGTCAGTGCTTCAGGTCCCCACCTCTCCAAGCCGCACACGGTTCCACCCCCTTCCTGATACATCTGAGGCAGGTCCTCTTTATGAAGAAAGAGCCCATGGATACCATGGCAGGGGCTAATTCTCACAAAACCCCTCGCATCCCATGCTCCTCCACCATGCAACTGGAGCACCAGCCTAGAAAACACATGAACTCGGTGAGCATATGACTCCCTTCCACACTCTGGGGTCAGTATTGAAGCCAGGATGTGTGAAAACATTCAGAGGGAACACTTTTAATTCATGCTGAAGGATCCATGGAGAGGCCAGCTGCTGGTCTATATTGCTGGTATATTGATGCTTTCTGGGAAGGCAACAGGAATTGAGAAAACTAGATACCCCAAGCCAGCATTCAAAGAATTTCACCAAATTCATGCCCGAGCTGTGCAATGGCTTTGCACAGCCTTTTCAGAGCATACATGACATCGCACTGGATGTGCTTCTAATTGACAATGTCCTAACAAAGCCCTGAGGCCACTGGAAACGTAAGAACTGCTTTCTTGGATCAGATTAACCTCCTTTGAGCTCTCCACTCAATTACCAAGCAGCACCAGCCCAATGTCTCTGGAAAGTTCTAGAAGCAGGGCAGGAAGGTGACAGCCTTTCCTTTTTGTACACAACTGCTTGGTTCACATGTAAAAACAACCCAGTGTGTGAGCTGACATTAAATGGTGAGTTGATGCCATGTGCAAATCCGGCACTGTGGAAGAGAACCCATGGCTTGGTGCTGCATTCTGAATACTGTGTAATTTGTGATTAACAACCCACCATTAAACCACAGTGCAGGCTTCACACATAACAACCCATGATTCAACAACAAGCCATACTCAGTCCCTGCTATGGGCTGTCATGTGCAAACCAGGCCACCGTCTGGTATTCAGAAGGTGAGCTGCCTTTGTACAAGGCTCCAGTTAGGAATTAACAACAAAGAGCTGTGGGAAAACAACAAATATTGTGCATGTCCTTGTTTCTCTTAGTCAAAACAGATGCTTGCATTTTATTAGCATGGCTGCGTGATGTCATATGTCATTCCTCTCGCAATTCCCTGTTCCTGTTGAGCTTAGCCGCAATCTCAAAGTTGCCAGGAAGGAAGGAATTTTTCCACCAACAGTATTTTTGTTCCTTATTAAAATGCGAAGAATTGTGCTGCTGGTGCTGCTGGTGGTGGGACAATTGACTTAGTCTCGAATGCGCAATTAAGCCCGGCTAGCTCTACAAAGACCTGCTCCTGGTGGAGATGAAAACTGTCAGAACTGGTTTCTTGATACAGATCAACACAGCTCCAAGTATTTCTGGACTCTTCTTGGAGGCATGGTTAAGGAAACCGTCATCAGTGCCTGCACTCCAATTTTGCCATGACATCCCTGGCCCTGGCCCTCCATTTTGTGTTAACAGTTCAGAACCTAGAAAGAATCCTGCACGGCCTGATGTTGTCCAGTCCTACAATGGACTATACTTAATGGACTTTACATTCTTCCCTCCTGCCTTACAGCCGAACTGGAAGGAGTGTGTTTAACAAGCACATGGGTGTCTCGTCTGGCCCTCCGAAGTATGAGCATGAAAAACGCTAGCATACAATAGACCTTAGTGTCAGGAATATACAAAGCTTACTCTCTCTGCACGAGACCACTAATGTTTTTGTAACAACTGCATCCACTGATAATTATGCAATCCTGGCTAACTTAGCAGCCTTGTTTAAAGTTAAATATTTGTTGTATTTCTATTTACTAAAATAGTCCGCTGTGTAGAATTATGTATGGGTCGTGCAGGAGACGCATGCACTCAATCACCCCGCCCCCTCCAGCAAAAAACACAATTATGCAATACAAAGCCCATCCTCCTCAGCATCTGGAACAAGGGCTTGGGAAACAGTACATCCAATAGGACAAAACCAGATGTGTTGCAGATGTGTTTATGCAGAATTCTGCAGAAGTAAATTCTGCATAAACACAGAGGACTGCAGATTTTAAAATGGTTGCACAGTCCCTTCTTCTTTGAGCTATAGCTCTGGGATGTCAGATACTGGACAGAGTTTTCAGCACCTCACCAAAATACAATTTCAATTTCCAGAATGCTTTAGAGCCACCCAGAAAAGTACAAAGTAGGTACAATTTTGTCATTTGGATATGGTTTGGCTTCATCTTTGTGCAGGCAACAACATTTTAAGGCTGAAAACCTATATCCACTTACCATGCAATACACCTCACTGAGTTCAATGAGACTTACTTCTGAGTAAGCCTGTACAGGATTGTAGTGTAAGCAAGGGAGTCCAGAAAGGTTCCTTCTGTATTTTTTTTAATAGTCATGTTATGTTTTACATACCTCATAGGGACAAGGGAGGTTAGCAGTAAAGATGTTTCAAGCTGTCCAGAGCCAGAATGGTACCAGGATTTCACATCTCAAAGGAGCCAAGGATTCACTACCTAAAACAACACGAGGTGGTCTGGTAAGAGATCTCCTAAAAATAACTGCAGGTCTCCCCACCCCCCTTTTACATGCATGCCAAAGAATGCTATATTCCACATTGTACAGATAACATATCTAGAGAGGCAACCTCTATTCACACATCTAGTGCACACCCCTTTAAACACCCAGAAGTGGATCCAAAGGGGAACTGTGCCTGAAAAAAAGATCACAGCTTTAATCCCAAAACAAATTTTCCTAGGAGTAAGCCCTACAGAATTTAATGGAACTACTTCCAAACAATTGACCATCTCTTGCACAAGGGGCTTGGATAGTCTCGAAGCTGTTCGGAAGGATAGTGTTTCTCATTTTTAAAAAAGGGTTCTAGTTCTCATGCCTTCAAGCAAATTGGAAAAAAAACCTGTAAAACAATTTCCGCATTAAAAATTTCAGCTATAGTAATTAATGCTTTTAAATTGTTTTGGGAGAAAATTCCATTAGGATGAAACAGATTTAATTTTAAAGCATGTCTTGACTGTTCCGAGAAGGCACGGTTGTTGCCAAGGCGGGTCATCTTCGGACTACAGAGGAAATCCAAAACTGAAGGGGTAACAACCCTCCGATTCACACCTTGAAAAGCCGCTTTTGTTCACGGATGGCTCCTCGCCTTTAGCTCCACGGAGAAAGCCGCTTTCTTCTGCCTCCCTCCACACCCCATTCAAAGGAGCAACTCAAGCCGGAAAAGCAAAAGCAAATACCCTCCGTTCTCCTTTCTCTGTCCCGCAGCAGCCAGGTGCAACAAAGCATGATCCTCTCGGGATTCACGCTACAGGTTGCCGAGTTACTTGCAAGCTTTTCGTCCGAAGTGGGTTTTCCTTGCAACGCGACCCAGTGTAAGCAACCTCCGTCGGTTTCAACGGCGTTTACTCCCCATTAAGGGTGCACAGGATCGGAGCCCGATCCTCTTACGTCTACGCCAGGTACGCAGTCTCTCATTTCTCTGCATGCACGCACACCCCCGCGGGAAGCGCTGCGGGGGGTCGTTGTAGCCCGATGTTCTCATGCTTACCCGGAAGCAAGACTGAACCCTTGGCTACGTTCCCTAGGCTAAAATGCATTTTTGACATGACTCATTTTGGAACCGACCTCGGAAGCAAATGCTACGGAAGAAATCGACTCAGCCCATCCCGAAGCAGGGACACCTGCCTAAGTTTTCTGCAATTCCAGCCCCGTACCTAGAGCACTTGTGGGTGCTTGGAGCCCCAGAGCGTACCAGGGCTGCCGGTTTTTTACGAACAACAGCTTTTATAGCCTTCCAGTTCGGATTTGCCTGCAGAGCCAGCGACACTGGCAAGGATGATCCGCTCCGCCCTGCCCACCCAACCGCTCCCGGGTCATTCAGCTCCGGTTCCAGCGTGGATGTGCTCCGCTCTCGTTACTTCTTAAGAATGTTCGTTCCATCGCGAACGCACCAGCAGGGGAGGAAGCTGCGCTGTAGCCAATGGTTGCGCACGGACCCTTCCCGGCCAGCCAATGACGGTGGAGCTTCCCCGTAAGTGAGCATCAGGCAGGCACGTGAACGCCAGCCTGGCTATGTGGGAGTGACCGTAACGCCAGCATGCGATAAAGCGCCTCTGCAGCTCACGGGGCTGGGGAGAGGGGTGGGTAACTAGAACGGGACGGAGGGAAAAGCCACCCCAAGGAGGGAGGGAGAGGGGAGACGGCGGCGCTTGGTGGTTTGCAGCCCCGCACATCAGCTCATGGGCGGGGAGTCCAGTGTGAACTTAGAGGCCTCCAGTTCAAAGAATTTCACCTGGGCAGTTTTAGGCCTCCTCTGGGTTGTTGTTGTTTTTTTAATTTATTATTACGTGTATTTCTTGCGTTTTTCCTCCCTTTTTACAAAGGCTCCAAGACCGTACATACAGTCATCTTTTCCTCATTTTATCTTCACAAGAACCCTGTGAGGAAGGTTAGGTTGAGAATCAGTGATTGGTCCAAAGTTACCCACTCTGCTTCATGGCCGAACAGCGATTAGAACCTGCATCTCCCGAGGGTCAGTGCAGCATTCTCACAGCTACACCACTCTGGCCAATTTTTCAAGGCTGCTCATACGCTGCCAGGGTAGTGTTGTCCCCTTGGCATGTCACCAGCCTCAGAAAGATACGTGGCCTGCAGCCTGTCCCCAGTGCAGCAGTATCACGCCGAGGCCTTGAATCACAGACAGAGAGATGTAAAGGTACCAGTCAGCCTTTCTGTGCTTGCCTAGAATAGCTTGAAAAATCTATTCTGGGTGTCAGGGTTTTGGCAGAAGGAAACATTAATTCTGTGCTTCCCCCAAATGTCTTGAAGCAGAACGCAATGTTTCTGCACCATTAATCATCATTGTAATGTCAAATGATTGGCATGTGGGTATAAATCATTCCTGTGTTGAAAAGTAACTGACACTGGATTCTGAATTTAGGTACTGCAAGGAGGACAACCTCCCTGTGCCCATGCCAAAAAGGTCATGAAGCAGTGCACTGTCCATTCTGCTGCCATTCCAGGAGAGGTGTGTCTGAAAAGAAAGAAATATTTTTCTGTTCTTTGATAGTCTTCAGAATGGGACAGTTAAAACATACTGCACTTTAATGTGATTCTTGAAGTTTTTCCAAAGCTCCATTAGAGCAGGGATCTGGATCTTTTTTTTAATGTGTATAAAAGCAAATTATGTTTTTTTAATTCTAGGGCCTTGCTATATGTGATTAATAGGAAAGACTAAAAGTGCTTCTAAGCAGAGTCTTTTGTCACCAGTGAATACTCACAAGTGGGCTGCATATGAGACGAAAGGATAGGCTTCTGATTGGAATGCAGGCGTGTGCTTCCATTGATACCTCTCTTTAAAAAAGAGGAAATTCTAAAAAAGTTAAACAGTGCTCTGTTCAAAGCGGGATGCAGGGCCTTTATAGTATGCTGCTTCTCTGCCTCACAAACGCAGACAGAAGAACTTCACCCTGGTGCTCAGCCACTCTGGAGCGGATGGCTAGATCCAGATTGGCCCTTTGCCCACTCGCTCCTTTCTCCAGCTTGATTTTAGATTGTAAGCTTCTCTCCTCCTATACATTGTAAAGCTCCATGCATACAGACGGTGCCATAAAAATAGCTATGTTCATTCCGGCCATCTGAAGAACCTTAGTTAGAAACACCCCAATGCTGGAAGCAGGAGTAGAAATGTTTAGGCTAGAGGGTGAATGTCCCCAGGAAGAATACACTCTGCAGAAAACTGAAGCACTGTTATTAAGACGAATGAGGCTAGGCTGACCCAGTAGCTAATGCAAGTTGTCCCCCACCCCCACCCCCCGGGCAGCAGAATTCAAGGGAATAGGAAAAATGCTAGCAGGGGAAATATAATTCTCCAGTACCCAACTCTAGAGACTGCATGTACATGGGTGTGTATGAGGGCACAAGATTGCCACATCCCCCTGCGATCCTCCACTTCAGCCCAAGCAGGGAGTATGAGCAAAGGACTACAGTCAAAAAGTCATGCTTGGAGAAAATCATGTACATATGTGGTGCTGAGCGGAGGTGAAGAAACTAATTTTGCTTTCAGTAGAAAAATAGCTGAATTTTACCCTGACAAATGTTTGTAGAAGGCCATGCAAATAATTGCTCACCAGGCAGTTGCTTGAAAGTAGCAGGGATACTTCATAGAGGGAAGGAAAATTTCTGCAATTTATTTAGTGCAACTCCTGCCAATGTTTGGATATTTGGGATAGCTAGGGTCCATATTCAAGGTGAGCCTCTCTTCAGCTCTGCTTTTGCACGTGTATGTGTGCAGGGGTGTCCAGCTAACAGTGCCATTTGTACTCTACTAGCAGAAACCAGCATGTGCTCAATGTCTATAGTAATTACTAGTATGGCAGGATTCCTGCATGCATACATATGTGACTATATGTACATAAAGTTCTACATCATACTAAAGGAGGGACCACTGTCCCTGGGAGTTTACAATCCAAAATGGATTTGACTTTAGGTCTGGCAATGTATGCATCTGCAGGAATGTGTCAAGAGAATCAGACAAAGCCTGCATAGGCGAGCAAAGCAAGTAGAAGTCAGTGTGCAGGGTAGACAAGTCAAATTCAGGGACAAGAAGACAGTGAAGTAAATGGGGAAGGAGGATTATGAATATGGCCTGGAAAAGGAGGACAAGTAATCTGGGAACCAAGGAAGATGGTGCTAGCATGGGATTCTGGGGAAGACTTGGATTAAGAATGCTGTACCAATTCAAACAGTCTTTTTTCTTTCACATCAACTCTTATCAGTTATGAAACCACAATTTTACCAGACATTCAGTCTTCTGTTCCAGATTCGGCCTGCTGTGATGTGGCCTTGACCGATTAGCTTCCCTGTGTCTTCTGATGTTCCATCCAGGTAGGATTGGTGTGTACTGTTGACAATGTGCACTGCTCTTTGGACCATGAAAATGCTAGCAGCAGTGGGGTGGGATGGTGGGGTGATCTCTGTGGCACAAGAGGGCCCAAACTGTATGTTACTGGCATGCCCCTGGTTGACTCTTTTGCTTTTCTGTTTTTTAATGCTGAAAACAGCCTCTGGACTTGAGCAGCTCCTCAACCCTTTTAATATGGGTTCTTTTCCTCCCATTGAAAATCTGCTTTTTTATATCCCTTGCAGGCAGGTACTGCTACTGCTGATAGCACACAGGTGGATTTTTTACTACTACTACTTCTTCTTTTAGCAGAAAAATCACAGCAAGGACGGGGTAAGCCAAGGAAGGGTTAACCTCCTGCTCTTTTCTTCCACTGACACTCAAAGGCTTGGAGATTCTTTTCAGTTCAAGAGGAGGAAACATCCAAGAAAAGACCCACCATGGTGCATGCCATGTTTCATTTGGCCCTGAGCTAGCCTTCCCCAATCAAATGCATTAGACTACATCTCCCATCATCCTAGCCTAGCATGGCCAGTGTCAGCTGGAGGAGAGGGAGATGGAGACCAATTTTTCTATAAGTCTACAAAGTGTTCTTTGCCACTTGTAGGAATCCCGCTTCCTGTCCTGAAAAAGGATTTGTGCCGAAGGCAACATTTTAAGTGGCAGTATCTTCCAGTAATGTTAATGTTGTAGGAAAACTTTAAGCTGTGCTCCAGAGGATGTTAAGAAAGATGGGGATTAGTGCAGGTTTTGAGGGCATCTATTGTGCCTGCCTTGCTAGGCCATCGTTTTTCTCATCTGGAGATCATTAAGCCCAGCTAGACTTCTGACTCTGCTCGGAGGTTGTAACACTCTTAAGTTGGCTTGAGTCCATGCCCTCCTTGTTTTGTACAACCTGCTCTGAGAAAGAGGGATTTATCAGCACAGTGACATAGATGGGCCTGTTGGAAAGACATCGTATTTCTTCTGACTGCGAATAACTAAGGTTGCCAACTATTTCCTGGCAGGTCTTTTGTGCCATTTCATACATGCATAAATTCAACGTTGGAATCATTTCTCACCGTGGCAAAGGAATGGTAGAGATGAGAAAGGCAGTGTAATCCATGATTTAGAGTGGATACTGAGCCAGATGTATCTTGTGCTCCCCTTGGCTCCTTGGAGGTAGGATTGGATGCAAATGCAACCTGAAAGCAGAAATCTCTTAGCCCTCTTTGATGGATTTGCTGTGTTTTGCTGCTGCTTTCAGCTTGGTGCTTCCATCCTTCCGGAGTCGAGAGCTGACTAACATTTCTCTGCATCTGGCAATGACACAATAATATGTGCACATTTCATCACCGTTAAACAGTGGATGGGAAAATTAGGTAAGAAGATAGTCTTGAGATGTGGGAAGATAGAGGCGTGTAGAGGATTAGGTCTTAAGTCATTTACTCTCAAAGGACTATTTCAGCCCCTACTTTTTCCATGGTTTTAGCAAAATTTTTGTTCAGTCAGGGATACTCTGTTTTGTAATATCTTGGCCTAGCTCTCTAGATCTGGTCAAACAGTTATCTCTGGGTTGCATCATTTTCTGAAATCTGGCAACTATTTAAAGGGTGACCACATCAGATAGGTACAATTGCCTCCAAGTCACTGAATGTGACTGGAGAATAAATTTACATTCTTTTGGGTTTTATTTCCCAAGGTCTGTACTAAATTGGGAACTACGTGGAAGCTGATAAGTTAATTTTAAACAGGGGTT